TTTTTTTTTTTTTTTTTTTTTTTTTTTTTTTGTTTTATAACTTGCCGCTGCTTTTATCTCCATAATTACCTCAATGGTAGCATTTTTCCTGAGGATCACATTGCAGTTAAGTTTTTGCGCTTCTAAGCTTGCGTTTTTATTGTTAGCTTGTATACATCTTTTGTGCTTAGGCTTCTCAATCTGGCTTGATTAACTTTTGATAAAGGTAAAAATGCCAAGGTGCTTTTTGATTTCCTAACAATCTGTTGCCGAAATTTCTTTTTAACGCTATAAAATTTTACAACCTTGGGTTCTCAATGAGAAGCAATGCAGTAGACGGAATCTGGAAGCTTTAGATTTGTTTTCACATCCACTTCCGTCAACAGTTCCCACGTGTCCTGATCCTTTTTTGGTCTACCCAGAAGTATCTGCTTAGTGCAGCGTTCTATCTTTATTAATAGATTTTGTTAATTTATAATGTGGCGAAAGAGATTTTTTGCGAAAAGATTACTAAAACGAACATTTATGAGCTAAGGAGGCGGTTAAACTGTAAGCAGTACTTTGGTGGCAGAAGTCTTGGAGGAGCGCAGATCCTAGTTTTGGGGGCAACTAAACCAAACAGTGTACAATCTCAAAGAGTACTCACTCACCCTTACTCCGTGAGCGGGTTGTAAACCTGTGTTGTGTTGAAATCAGAAATGAATTTTAGCACTAATTCTTGAGAAAATCATGGAGGAGAATATAAGTAGCAATGAAATTATCATGAATTGTGTGGAGCCAGAATTTCGCACTTGAAATATGGAGGTAAGTTAACAATAGAACGAAGATGTTTGGAGAGTAAAACTGCAGTGCTTTTAGTGATTTTTGGCAAATTAATAGCGAATAAATTTACACGTCTTTCTGAATTTCCGATTATTTGCTACTTGATATTTGGTACTGGCCTTTTCGCTGTAGTACATTTGCTTTCTTGTATTTCAGTTTCTTGTATTTCAGATGGAGCATGAAATTTTGTCTGATTTCTGCAGTAAACTTTCGTCACTATAGCTTTGAAGTGATTACTTGTTTGTAGTTTTCTAAGTCTACAGTTAATTTTCCCAGTTTTTCTAAAATGTTTTACGTCATTTTTACCGTCATCTGAATCGAGTTTGCTAATAAAAGATTTCTAAAAGTACTACTTTGGAAGGTTGGAAATCGCTGATATGTATTGCCTGCGATTTGATAGACTGGTAGTACAATTCAAGAATGTGGTTTTTTGATACGGAAGAAATATCCATTCTTGAAATTTAATTAGAATTGAAGAACACAAATTTCCTGTACTGGTTTTCTCCAGGATTTGAAAATGGATATGTAAAATACCTTACATCGTCTAGAATCATTATAATTGGCTCATCTGTGTGCTACAGCAAACCGAAGTGCAGATGTGTACCTTAGTTTTAAATGTTCTGGACATCGTGAGCACCGGTAGTTTTCCTCATTGATTTCACAAAAACTGTAAATTATTTAAAGTGTAAACAGTAAACAGGCCAGGTATGGTGAGGGCATGGCATTTTGTGTTCCAGTATTAAAATTGGGTTACTGGTTACCTTAGTGATAAGAAAGCAAAGTAGTGAGCAGTAAGCATAGCACGGGCTCAGTGGCAAATTGACAAGTTTGTTTTTTTGACGATGGGATTCTGCCGCGTTCTTGAGTAATTAAATTTGATTGCTTTTTTGAGAGATTTCAAGAAGAATTTAGAGAATAAGATTGAAGGGTTTTGATTTTAAATGTTTTAAAGATGTTTTCTGGATTGTTTGGTTTGAAATTTTATTCTAGCTGATTTCTCCAAACTTGGTTTCAGAAGCAGTGAAAAGGGGGTTGTGGATCTTCTGTTAGTAAAATAATGTGTTTCTTCGTAGCAGTGAACATCAGTGTGGAACGTTGCGTTGTGCGTTGGCTATAATTTTTTCTGTTGAGCCTCAGCTGATTTTCTCTTTTAAATCATTCGCTTCTCCACGACTTGAAGTTCATTAACAGCATCTGTGGAGTTTCTTGTCTCCCAGGAGGATGTGATGGAATTTGTAACAGATTTTTTTTTCTGGAATCTTCAACAATACTTTGCATCCGACAAGTAAAGGATTTAATAAAGATTCTTGTAATTACCTTTCTCCGTTTTTTTGTCATTTTTGCAACGAGTAAGTTTTGTTAGTATTATTTGGTCTTGTAATATTTAAGATCTGATTCAAAACACGATTTGTTCCACAAAAAAAGGTTTAGTGAAATGGCAACTTTTTTAAGCAAAAAAAATTTTGCATGAAGTATCTAGTGTGGGATCAACAGCGCAAGTGTTTGCAAGATTAATTTTTATCTGATGACTTTTTTGTTTATTTTGAAATTTTAAATCAAAGCACACTTTGAATTTGTACATTTTGACATTTTAATGAAGCAGTGAATTTTTTTACTTTGTTAGCAGTAGTGTGGGGTAGCCGGCTGATGAGCGGTAGTGCCTGACGCATTGGCAAAGTGTTGGGTAAGTGGTAGATGAGATTGGCAAAAACCGCTAAATGTGGTAAAGTTGGGGATTTCTGCTAAACTACGGGTTATTCGGTATACAGCAGTGAAAAAGAACTTTCAGAACACTTCATACGCGTGTGGAAAACGTAGCTGGAAGTTCAAGTCGAAAATCACTGAATTCGAGCAGATTTTAATTGCGTATCAATCAGTTCTAACTTTCAAGTTTAAATCTAAAATGAGCTGAAATTTCGAAGGGTGATTTCGAGTCAGACTATTTTCAATTCCAAATACGATATTTATTGACGCATTTTCCAAAGGAGGAGGATTGAGCTGTAATGATGAGTTTTTTTTAGTAGCGACCGGTTTTGGAAAAATACTCTTGTTTTTTATCTAGAATTAAGGCATTGAGCCGAGAAGAGTGGTTGTAGGGGGATTTTCCGGGCCACTTCCTTGCAGTATCTGGGAACATGGAGAAGTTACATTTCTACCATACCGATTAAGAAATTACTAGCAAACTTCAGTCGAATTTGTTGTTGCGCTTCTAAAATAGAAAAACTTGAAACCGAGACGCTTTTCGTTTCATATAACCATAATTCCACTCTTAGATTGCACGATGTCTTCTGTAAATGTTTGGTCATTTTATCCGAATTTGGTTGGTTATGGCCGCATCATACTGGCGATACTCTCGTTTGAAGCAATGACGTATGCTCCAATTAGAGCAGCGTTCTTTTATGCGTTAAGTGTGGGACTCGATGCTGTTGATGGAATACTGGCGAGGAAATTTGATCAGTGTGCGTCTGATTTTATTCCAAGATGTTGCACTCTTATTCCGTTCAAAATAATGTTTATGAGTTTGCATGAGAGTTAATCATTTCTCGGTGTTAGGTTATCTCACCGACTGGCTCATCCGTTTACTTACAGGCTCGAGATTTGGTGCAATGCTTGACCAGCTGACTGATCGTTGTGGTACTTTGGGTTTGGTAATGGTGCTAGGGGTGTTCTATCCAAAGTACCTTTTCTGGTTTCAAATATCTGCTGCTGTAGACATTGCCTCACACTGGCTGCACTTTCATGCTACTGACCTAACTGGTGCAAAAACGCACAAGGTAAGTACAGTACTCAAGGTAAACCTCTGGAAATCCACGATTTTTGTGAGAGATTGGAAAAAGAAGCATATTTTAAGTTGCTTTTTTTCTATTAGTTAATTAGATTCAAAAAAAAATTGTTTGCTGTTTTTTACTGTAACCGTTAAATATCCTTAATTACCAGAAAAAGTGTAAGTCGTAAGGTCGCTCAGCATAGTTTTTTTTCAGCTCTCTGATAATCTAATACTTAATCTGTATTACACTTCGCGAAAATTCCTATTCTTTATGTGTGCCGGTAATGAGGCATTTTATTGGCTGTTATATATTAATTATTTCTGGTCGGGTCCTGGTTTTTTTGGAATTCATTTTGTTCCGTTTCTCGCTTTTTGCTGTTTCCCAGTAAGCTTTCTGAAGTCAGCAATTAGCGTGGTGCATCTGATTACAGCATCAAAGACCGTTGTTTCGTATGATGTTGCTCAGAGGGTGAAGTGATTTATGGGAAGCCAGTGTCAAGAGTAATTTTGTAAATTATTTTTTGCACGCAGCTAATTTTCTTTTTTTTTCCAGTTATCTCACTTACAAAGGCTTCTTGTTTTCTTACTGCAAATTTTTTTATTTCAACTCTTGGTGTGCAATTTTCAGCATCACTAAAAACATCACTTAGCATCGCTCTATTTAAGTATTATTTCATTTATCCTTAGAAATCCATTTGCCAAGTTGAGTAGTTTATATACTGCCTCTCAGAGCATCTCTTTATTGTTGTGCAGCTTTACTTATCATCTCAGAACAGCTTAATCCGTACATCTTTCTATTAACATTTTTTGCAGAAAACCAGCGTATTACTTTCCTCTTCGTATTATTACAATTCTTAATCTGCTGGGATATTTAGTTGATATTATTGTTGTTCGGTGTGAAGTTTCACTTTTTTTTGTTATCCTATTTAGTTCTTAACCTTTTCATTTTTTCTACTATAAATCAATTGTTTTCCTGGCTGCTTATCCACCCAAATACTAGTCTTTTGTTCAGCTACATGTGTTTGCTTTGTTCCGAGTAAAATTCTCTGATCTTTGTTACAAGACTTGACCTAAAGAAAATGCATCTTAAATTGGTCAGCGTGCATCTTGTATTTCATGTACAATAAAAGAGAAAGGATGCTGTTTTATCTTACCGCATCCACTCCGGAATACGGTTTTTTTGAATTTAGGGTTTCCTTTACCTAGAATCTGATTGGCATACATATTCTAAACGAAAGTGCCGCGAGGGCTTTGTTGATGATATCCCATTCCTTACGTATCAGCTTCACTCAGAAGACATATTACGCAGGTGAGAGCCCAGCCAAGTCAGCACAATTATGGCATTATCGCTGTCGTATGCCTCGTCAGAAATACTGTAATTTTCAAAGGAATACAAACGATATTGTTTCTGTGAGTACTCGCGCGAGCGACAGTATCATCTGCCATTAGTGGTGCAGGAAGATACTGTGGCTCTGAGAACTGTCGAGAAATGAGATAAAGTTTGAGTGGAAGAACATTTCGCTTGCGTACAATTTTTTGCACAGTTTTCACATGTAAGACAGTGCCAATCTTCATTTCTCACTAAAGTTCGTACTGTAAAACGATAAAGTACTGATAGGAGTTTCTACTGTAAATAGCAACTTGCGTTCCTCTCTGCTCCATCTTTAGCCAGCCATATTGCTTTTAAAATGCTAAGGACTTAAATGTAGTTTTTCTGCCCTCTAGGCGTCGCTGAAATCGAAGCATTTCAGTGAAGTTTGCAGTTCCGCGATTCAGTTCTGAAGAACTGACAAGTTTTTTTGTCGTCTTTTAAACTAATGGCAGAGCGCTGATTGGCTCGCATGGAAACCGTTTGTAGGTTCACTATCATCAGTTTACCCAATACTTCTGGAAACGGAACACATTAGAGAGACCCTTAGTCAGTGTGTTGTTTTTGAAAACCGGAGGCAGAAAAGGAGAACCCTGAACTTTACCTCTTCTTACTGGAGACTAACACCTGTGTAGCCGCACCGCTGCAAGCGCCAATGCACCTTATAGTAAGTTGTGCACAAATAATAATAGTGGTGTTATAGTGTGGCACACTCGTACTCCACCGGCTCGTGCAATGTGATCGTTTGCTTGCCGTGTGGCTCGACCACTATACCTTTACCTTTTCTGTCGCAGATTCCAGTGCTAACTTCCAGTAAGGCTCTTGGGCCAGGAACCTGTACGCACGAAATGGACAGTGACCAGCAGATTATTGTACCACTTGAAAATATTACCAGCGGACAGCTTTCTATTTTACACAAGACCCTTTAAAGATGTTTTGGAAAACCTTTGGCGAATGGTCTGCTCACAGTTTTTAGATGGACGGCTTCAGATGCTACGGATGAAGCTGGAGCAAATCCTGTACGTCTGAAAATCCCCTCGGACCATGAAAGACAATGCATAATCCCCCTTGGTGATCGCCCAAAGTGCACTCACTTTTCGAAACGATAATGTAAAAAAAAAATGGTTCTTTACCGGTCAGCTATTGACAATAATTATAAGACCAGTCCTAAGAAAATGATCTCTTTTTTCAGACTAACGGTGACTTTAAACATCCGTAAAAAGTGGCTTTAAAACGAAAGAGCTCAAAATGACTTTAAAAAAAATTTGGACAGAGCTAAAAAGTAGCAAGGTCCCACTACAAAAGCAGTATGGTACAAAAAAGGTTAACAAGCGCCCTGTCAGGTACTCCAGGCGACACTTTCATCTGTGAAGGGAAAAAAGACATCTCAGAAAACTCCGACAGCAGACCA